CTGCCTCAACGATCTGAGGCTCGCCATCGTGCAGGCGGAGAAGATCAAAAAGAGGCTTCTGGGTTTTGAGAAAGGGAAATGTTTTCACGTGTTTTCACCATGGAAATTTCATGGGATATCTCCACTACTATCACTAGTCTTAGTTATAACATGTTATACCCAGAATGTATAATAATATATATATATATGTTTGGTTGGTGGTTTGGAACATTTTTTATTGTTCCATATATGGTCACCGACAGAATTATGGAAAAAAAAAAACGTTCAACTTAGACAGGTGGCGCCTGCGTCCGATTTTTCCATAATTGCATTTTTCCCCATAAGGGTTCAAAATATCCCGGAAGTGATCCGAACCTTTTTTTTTCCATAATTCTTGGAGGTGGCCATTATTTCCATAATTGATTTTTCCTGTGAAATCAGGGGGCTAGGGCAGATTGACCGGTTTTTCCATAATTATTTTTTCCATAATTATTTTTTCCATAATTATTTTTTCCATAATTCTGGCTTTAGGGGCATATACCAGATCTTTAGACACATATTTTCTATAATTCAATATTCCCCTTTAAATGCATTCAAATTGCGAACATCACATGATATTATGTATATCAATGGCAGGCTTTAGGGGCATATACCAGATCTTTAGACACATATTTTCTATAATTCAATATTCCCCCTTAAAATGCATTCAAATTGCGAACATCACATGATATTATGTATATCAATGGAAGACTTAGGGGCATATACCAGATCTTTAGGCACAAATTTTCTATAATTCAATATTCCCCCTTAAAATGCATTCAAATTGCGAATCGATGGACATACAGTCACCGACAGAATTATGGAAAAAAAATAATTATGGAAACATTAATTATGGAAAAAAAAGGTTCGTAACTTTTCTATCATAGACAGGCGGCGCCTGTAAATTGAAACGTTTTTTTTTTCCATAATTCTGTCGGTGACTGTATATATATATACAGTATATATATATAGGGAATGATAATCCCAACTGCCTAAGGGGTTGAAACCACCAACCATATATATATATGTGTGTGTGTGCGTGTATGGGATACCAGTTTAACAGCTATATAAAATAACCAGGGATCTTGGTACATTATAAAGACCTCACTGTGACCTCACTGGAATGATGCTTAGTAAAGGGAAATCGCCTTACCCAGAACCATGGATTTGACCATCAAAAAAGGTTGCATTCATGTGGATTGAATGGAAAAAACAATACGTGAATTGAATGGGATAACTGCTAATTAATTCCGATGAAATCAGGTCAGGGCCAGAAGCAGGGCACCTCGTAAACGACGCCGTAAACGACGCCTTCAGATACTGCGCCTTCCTATGAAGCAGGGCACCCCGTATTTAGCAAGTGGATGTATAACTATAGGGTACTATGATTGATGGTAGATATATTTTCAGTGAGGTATAAACCAACTTATAAATGAGGCATATCAAATCCAAGAGCAGAACCAAATCCCTCGGCTTCAACTAACTCTATCTCTGGTCTCAGTTGTGGCGGAAAGTTGATGGGGTAAATCGTTTTTCCTAGTTCCTTGACATCGTGTTTCCAGACCGCTGCGGGCAGTGTGCAAGTGCCAGGCTAAGAGAAAACCGAGATGCCTTCGGTTTGACGACACCCCAGGCCCCTCGTGATGTAAAAAGAAATGAGAGGGAAAAAGTGGCAAGATCAACTCCAACCGTTTTTTGACTGGTTTGAAATTTGATTTTTTAATATTGCATCTTTCAAGTGGAAGGATTATCCTAGTGAATTGATGCTTTTCAGGGGAGGTTAAGTTTAAAGTTTAAATCAAGAAAAATCAAGAGATTTGCTGGTTCGGTTGATATGGCGTTGATGTGGCACCTGGTGCAAGGCGGGAACCAGCTTCAAACACATCAAAAATAAGCCGGGAAGCTCAGAAAGTCCTGGATGCCGTGATGCCTTTGAAGGCTGAAGGTGGATCCAACCAATAAACCATCCCAAACCGAGATATACCATGGGGTATACCTAAAAACAATGAGAAACCTGGATTGAGATGGTGACTACCATTGGGTGTTTACCACATTAATTACTGGGTTTCATTAGTCTGGAGCAAAGATACGTTTTGGTAGGAGAACAAGGATAGACAGCAAAGAAAGGAAATCAGTTCTGAGCTTGAAACTGGTTTTCTGGTTGGTGGTTGGAACATTTCTTACTTTTTCCATATATTGGGAATGATAATCCTAACTGACTTTCATATTTTTCACAGGGGTAGGTATACCACCAACCAGTTTTTGATTGAGGATAAGCATGATAAGCCCTGGAAGATTCCGAGTTTTCAAAGGACCATCCCGCCAGAACCAGATACGGTCTAGCTGTGCAGCAAGCTTGCTATATCACTACCTTTATCCTAAGTCACTATATATGTATATATATATAGCAAACACACACAGATATATATATATAGATAAATATCAATCACTATATTTATATGTATATCCTAAGTATAGGTCCCCCGAACAAAAAATATGATAAACAAAAACATTAAAAAAAAAAAAACATTCCGGCCCCGACTTATTGGACCTGGATCCCAGGTGGAACAGTATTGCTGGCTTCCCCTCCGAATTCTGTGGGTGTGTATGGAATTCACAAGAAATGGATAGAAATGACAAATTGCTATTTCAATGGAACATGATGATTTATAGCAATGGAATTTAGGGGTACCCATGGTGCATCACATGGGTACCCTCGATTTTCCCACAAAGCCATGTATGTTCAATCAATTGTCCGATACTAAACCATTTTTTCTAGGCACGAAAATTATTAGATTTTAGACCTTGAAATTGGATGATATATATTTTACATACATATATGTATATATACATTAATGCTAGTTTGCGTTTATATAGTAAACCCTAGTAAACCCAGTTTTCCGAGGGATTTCTAGGATTCCCTTGGGGAACTCTGAGGCACAAACGGTCTCAGATGGTACAGCTCATGAAGCAGGCGAGGTCTGCGAAACTCAGCTGTTGATTGGCGTTTGAGGTTCCATTGTTCTACGTGGGCCATGGAGTTAGTTAACGAGTATAAGTAGTTAGCAAATGGATTGTTTCATTGGGATTGTTTGGGGGTCACTAACCAGGAATCGCTAATCCCATGGCCCATCTACGTGTTCTAATGTTTTATAAACCATCCAGTTCTAGAGTGCATAATTACCAAGGTTTGACACAGATGAATTTCTGGAGAAATGTGCTGGGACGAGTTTCTGGGGAAGATCTAGAGGAACCAGGAGGACTTTGAAAGAAAAAACGATTTTCGATTGGAAATGATCCAGGTATGCGTCCAGCTCCAATGCCAACTTATAGCTGAGGGCACCACCTTGCAGACTTGAAAAGATGTGAAACAGAGTCCAGAGATTACTCATGTGGGTAGCTTTGGGCACACATGGTACAACAAACAGCAAAGAAACGAACTGCCTTTGTATTTCAGCTAGATATTTTTTTTGGATGTGGACATGGTGAGTTGTGAGTTGTGAGTGCGTACCATAGTGGCCATGTCTTTGCAGCAGGTCTGGGATTGTTGAGAGATGACAGGCAAGATCAGGATAAACAAAAGATTGCATTCAAATTCAAATGTGTTGTTCCATCCCCCTTCTTGAAGATGCCACTATTCCATACAAAGTGGGGCCCCCTAGATAGCTAAGTTGGTTTATAACTCCAATAACTATGGTTTATGATACTTATAACTATAGTTAATGGGGTTTATAAACAAATTTATAACTGGGGGACCCCACATTGTAATAGTTTTCATATGTCATGTAACAGATGCATCTTTTGAACATGTTCAATGCATCTTCCAGATGGTTATCTGAAAAATCACCAGGTCCCCAGCTGCACAGGAGAAGAAGAAGCAAAAGGCCAAGGTGCCTGGGCTGTTGCTGTTCCATCCATGGGGGCACCACGCTTTGCAGTGAAGAGCTTGGGGGCTGTAAGAGGTTTATACTGTCTATATGATGTTAGACATGTTTTAGACCCCACTATTTGGATGCAAGGTTCATATTTCAAACGTGTCCAAACTCTTTTGCCAACCATGTGCTGTCGCAAATTCACCACTTCGGATAGATTATGTTCCTATATGTGATGTTCTGTTAAACGTTGGGTTTTCCATTCTGCTCGGTATATCTCGGCATTGTGTTTCTCATGTTTCATCCCGACCCTGATCTGTGAGCAGACTGTTGTGGGTGCAGTTTGATAAGCCCACTGCCACTGCTGTCTCCGAATGGGTTTGTCCAAAAATGGGGCACCCCTTGGCACCCCTAAATCCCATGGTGTGGTGCCGAAATTCTTTCCCGAGCACATGGCCATAAGTTGAACGGTTGTGGTCAACCCAAACTCAACTGACGTCACCAGGTGCGACGAAGTCGAAGAGAAGCGGAAGCTCGAGGAGAAAAGGCCGCAGGGTTTTTGGACATTTGAGCATTTGCAAATTGGAAGCAAAGATGCGTTATACAAAAATGGAGGATTTAGCCTAGTATCATCTAGTATCTGGCGTTTTTCACAGGAAATCTATGGAAATCTGAGGTTCCAAACCATGGGAATTGGGGTCGTCGTGTTAGACATTAAGAGGGGAAGCATAGTTTGGGCATAAAGTACTTGAACTCATCCCACATCGTACCATCGAATTGCGCCCCCAAACGGTCCAACTAATTCCTATGTAAACACTGCCAACCTTATCTTCAGAAGTTGTTGGATCCGGGCCAAACGCCGATGCAAATGGACCCTTTTCGCAACTTGGGCTCGGATTGGGTTACCATCCTAAGGTACTTGTGGACCTTGTGGTTCTTGGAATCAATGGATTGGTTTGTTGGCGGAAAAACGCTGAAACCATTGGTTTCACCTATACAAATTAGGTTTCCTGTAAACTGTTCCATACATCCCTTGCATTCAATGCCCCAAGAACTCGGAAGATCTCTAACCTGCAGGTGGAACGTCAGGAACCCTGCTCCATCGACAAGATGAGGGAGCCCGGTGGCCGAAAACAGAGCCAAGATGGGGCCCGTTGTCGCAACAAAGCGATGTTCATTTGGAGTCGAGGACCAACAAAACGGGGGGCACATGCTTTTGCAGTGATTACGTGCATACACACACATATATATATATATGATAGCGTGTATGTTATACACATCGAATGGGGGTTCGACGACTGACGTAAGTATATACGGCCAACGTTTGTGGTTGCTGGTGATGAACCAGGTGAACCAAGAAAAACAGGGCCTCAGGACGCAAGAAGAGTGATACAACCCGGAAATTGAGATGAGTGCTTAATAACAACTGGTTGGTGGTTTAGAATATTTTTATTTTCCATAATATATGGGATAATCCTTCCCATTGACTAATATTTTTCAAGATGGTTAAAACCACCAACCAGACAACCATTCGTCTCCTCAGATTTTGATGGGCCAACGATTTTCGCCCACTTAGGGTCTCACTGGCCGTCAACAGAGAAGATGTGAGTCAACAAGATAGCGAGCTTGCCATCTTAGTTCACCCAGATATTTGGAAATAGGTGGGCTATTAACCACTGCCCTTTGGTAATCAAACATGATCAAACATTGTTTTCCTGAAAATATTCGGTTTGTCGATGATTTTCCCATTACAACTACTTCCGTTTATACCTAATTAGGTGGTTTCCAGTTCCCATGTTTGATTACTGGAGGATTTTTTACCAGCATGCATTTGTGGCAATATGTCGGACTGCCTAAACCTGGCAGCATGTTTTAATTTCTCATATATAGTAGAAGTTCCGGAATATATGAACTGACCCAGGTCAGGACATCAAAATTATTTGGTTTGGGATGATGTAATCTGTCAGATCCAGCCAACAACCACTGAGCTACCTGTGGAACCCATGCCTCTGCAAATCTCTGCTGCCAAACATCTTCAAACAACAATCTTCAAACAACAACACTGCGATCTTAAAATGTCCAGCTTTTTGGCTTCACCCATTTTTTTGCGTTGCTGCAGAACTTCGGCTCCCGTTAGCACCTCGACGAGTTCCTTCCATTTTTGGTGTTTCCTAACAGTGGTTCGGCCCATGGCAACGGAGGATGCCATGCGGCTCATGGCAGACATGGAACCTGGAGACGTGACGCCTGAGGCAGTGACGACATCAGAGACGGTGCCAGAGACAGTGCCTTGGTCATTTGCGTATGGCTTAATGTTGGTAAAACAATTATAAACCATCCCCAATTTCACCATAAATAAGTAGTATAAACCATTCCCAAATGGGTGGTTTATTATTGTTTTCAGCACGTTACATGGGATAGATGGGGGTAAGGTTTTTTTCAGCATGTTTGGATAAGGGTTGGATCAAACATGGCTTTGGAATCTGATGGTTGCAGCTAATATGCCATTCAGAAATGGCAATTGGGGTAGGAAACCATCAAATTTAAGCAAGCATACCATCGCGCCTTCCTTCTATCTATCTAGCTATCTATCTATCTATCTATCTATTTATTTATCTATGTATCTATCTATCTAATCTAATCTAATCTAATCTCATCTATCTAATCTTATCGTATCTTATCGTATCTTATCGTATCTTATCTAATCTAATCTATCTATCTATCTATATATATATATATTTGTTTGTCTATCTATTTATCTGTCTTTCTTTCTGTCTATCTATCTATCTGTTTGTTTGTCCATCTATATTGTATACATTAATTTAGATTCGATTGTATGCATTATGATTATATATATATATATCAGTACACACACATTTTCTACATTATAAAATTATATACATGCATATGTACATGTATGTACACATGTATATATAATCATATAAACATGTGTGTATACGTGTATATACATGTATATATGCGGTTCATGATCCCTCAGCGAGAACGATCCCGGTACCCAACCGCTCCAGGTCAACTCGGTGACCGCTCCCGAGGGTACGGCCAGGGTTTGGAGAAAGCTGGCGATGGCAATGGTGCCCTTGGCCCTGATTGCTGTGGCATATCATCATTCGAAACCCGGCTGAGCCCGGCTGGAAGAAAACCCCCGGAAGGACGACTCCCGCAACTGAGGGTCTGAGGGCATCAAGATGTATATAACTATAGATCCTGGGCTGGTGGGCTTGTATGGCATTATATATTATTGGTTTCATGACTGATACATCGGCCAGATGGATCGCTTGACTTCCGTAGAAAAACAATCAAACAATCAATATATAGAAACAGCTTCGAAAATCGCTGGTTTTTGTGCGTGGGCCCCTGGTTTTTTGGTCTTCAAGGTCTCCAATTCTTAAGTCTTCACACCCGAGGGAGCCATGGGATGCCACGACCAAGATGGACGTAGCGGAGACGGTGGAGTTGACGGGGGCACACTCCACCTGGTGGGATCCCAATACGCAGTGCTGCTGGGATCTGCTGGGTTTTTGGATCGGTGGAGTTCTTCCTGGCATTTCCACTTTGGATATAGCATCAGGGGCCCCAAATCCCGGGTATTAACATCCCGTGGTTTCCATAAAAATCACCTCAGGCCTGCCCAAATATTGGTTGATGGGAAAAAACGGGGAAAACTTGGTAAACCCCCACATTTAGCTGGTAAAACGATGGTTCACTGTAGATCGACCCATTAAACAAACTAGAAATGTTGGCATTCTGTGCTGCGCTAACTCACTCGTTTTTGCTGATGCCGTGGGCGTTGAGGCACCAAGATGTTTCGGCACGTGATGCAGGATGGCCTAGGAACTGTAGCCATGGGTGACTTGACTGGAGGCGTTTCCATTTTCTTAGCTAATTACCTAGCTATCCGGTGGTGAGGAGTGAGCTGGGGATGATATTCCCACAATGGGGAACCAAGGAGCTACGAGCTTCCAAAAACCACATGATACTTTCTGAATCTTGGGGATCCAATCATCTCCGTTTCGGATGGTATTTTGAAACCAATACCACTGTGAGGATTGGTAAACCCACCATGTTGAATTTGCTGTTGTTTTTGGGTGGAATGTTAAGCAAATCCAAGTTGTTTCCCCTTGAATGTTCCGTACCAGACGGGGCTCTGAGAAGTGATGATCCATCCCTATATAACCCCCTGGACGCCCTAGCAATATATATATATATATATAGGAATATAATTTGATATAATCTACAAAGAGTGCTAAACCAACAAATCATACAATTTCCCCAGTCACATGAGCAGTTTCAGAAAAAGACAGTTGGAGATTAAAGGGGCTTATGCTGCCATTTTTACATTGGGTATTAAATCATAACCTGGCAGTCGGGAATCCCCATGTACAAGCCATTAGGGATTCTCCGATCGCTTTTGGCGGGTTCAGTGAAACCTGCACAATAGTGGGTCACAGCGTATGTAAATCTAGTATGCATATGTTCTGTTATATACATAATATATATATATATATAATGATATACGTATGTATGTATACACAATAATGTGTAAATGCATGTTTTTGAAGGTTGGCCAACCTTTATGTGAATTTTATAGATATTATTATATATATATATATGTGTGTGTGTGTGTGAGACTACCTGAGTGATTGTAATCCTCATGCTTGTGGTGAAATCACAATTGAACTCATGGTATCTTCAGTGGTGCGATCTCCATCAAATTCACCAAAAAAGGTAGGTTGTGGCAACGCACTCCTCAGTTTGTTTCTATCGGCCTCTTAACCGTCTTAACCCAAGGTGGGTTCCTCTGAAAATAGGGCACTCCAAAAAGCCATTGTGTATCATCATTTCCCCCCTCAGAGCTGCCACTTTATGAGCATCCCAATCTTCACCCCAGGTGAATTCGACTTCAGCACCCAAAAGCTCAAGATGAAGCACATCAAAACGCCCAAGCAAGCAGCCAAAGCGTTACAGGATCCCTACACCAACTTCGTGCATGTTGGGAAGTGCGGCTTCCAGAACCGTGCTGTAGTGTGGCTCTACCCGGACCACACAGGCTGCCGAGCTGGTTGGATGGGAGGTCAAAATGCCTGATTGATGCTGGCTGGTGGCTTCAAAATGTTTCTTTATGTTCAACCACACGGGTGAAAACCACCAGCAAGGATGGGTTTACGTGTCATTTTCCCATTTTGGTGGGCAATTAGTAAAGCGAAGACGGCAATGCTCTGGCAGGCTATCTCGGATAAGCCCACAAGCAGATATGTTCTGATCATCCAGCCAAAACACCACTAGTCACTAGCGGCACTAGCGGGATCAAAACACCACATGTTCTTTGGCACATCCCAAGGTTTGATGGTAAAGTCCAAAGTGCTGATGCTTCAATGCTTCAAGCCATTTCAATCCATTGGACAGTTCAAGTCTGGTTGGTGGTTTCAAACATGTTTTATTTTCCATATGGGTTGTCATTCTTCCCATTGACGAACTCATATTTTTCAAGATGGCTAAAACCACCAACCAGATTATCATTAATCATCATTAACCATATAATAACCACATGTTAACCATAATTAACCATCATAAACCAACCAGAAACCATTATATTGGTCAGTTCAGTCGTGCTTCACTCGTGTTTGATCCGGCGTCAAATCCTCAGTTTTGACGCCGGAGGTGACCCCAGTAGTGCTTTCCTAATGGCCAACGGCGAATGCCAACGTTTGGCGACGCAGTTCTTGGACAAGGCGGGCCGGAGATCTCCGAGCTGCG